GAAAGATGAAGGAGGGTTTTGGGGATAAGCAATATGAAAATTGCTGAGCAGAGCTGAGCCAGCCAGAAGGAAAAGCAATCGCAAGAGAAACTTAGGCAGATGCAATGGCAGAATAAAATAGCTATACCAGGGGTGTGATGGGGCCTGAGGGGAGCATGGCATGGAGACAGACAGGTGCAGGGGACCAAGTGGTGGGAGGACCAGAACACTGAGAATGTTGCTAAACTGTAGCAAATTAGTAACTGTAATTAGCACAGCCTCAGCAATGACAATAACGATTATATTCTGAAAAACACTATTGGTCTCTGGGTAAAATGGCTTGAAGCCCCGATAATGGTGACATTCCATTTCATAACAAATACTTTTGGAATGGACTTGACCAACAATCTAGAGATTTTCTTTCAGTTGACCAACAACTTTGATTTCCAAAGGCAGAGTTACTTTTGTGAACCCTGAAAATCTGAGACAGGTCTCAGTTAATTTAGAAAGTTTATTTTGCTAAGGTTGAGGATGTGCACCCATGACACAACCTCAGGTGGTCCTGATGACATGTGCCCAAAGTGGTCAAAACAGTTTGATTTTATACACTTTAGAAAGACATGAGACATCAATCAATGTATGTAAGATAAACATTGGTTCAGTCTGGAAAAGCGGGACAACTCAAAGTGGGGAAGGAGCTTCCAGGTCAGAGCTAGCTAAAAGATGAATGGTTGCATTCTTTTGGGTTTCTAATTAGCCTCTCCAAAGGAGGCAATCAGATACGCATTTATCTCAGTGAGCAGAATAATTACTTGAATAGAGTGAGAGGCAGGTTTGCCATAAGGAGTTCCCAGCTTGACTTTTCCCTTTAGCTTAGTGATTTGGGGAACCCAAAATATTTTCCTTTTATACTCTGGATAAATAAGTGTGACCCTGCAAGGAATAACAAAAATTATTCTGCTTATATACTCTTAGAGGATATATTAATGTCTCAGTGATCATCATTCATCTTTCACAATACCTAGCAAAATATGCAATAAATTTGGACTGAAAACAAAATCACCAGCTCTTCTTGCCCTACTCATCTTTCAATCTCTTGCATTAGTGTTTGCATCAAATAAACCCTCACTCTGCATATTTGCTGTCTACTTAGAAGCTAAGGAAGGATGTGCTAGCACAATTTGATCCATACTTCTGAATAAAAAATAGCCAGAGATAAAGTTATTCTTTGGTCAAATGACAGAGATTACAGCTAATGTATAAATGAGATCATTTTTAAAAATTACACTATAGGTCTCAAGAATATAACGTTAAACAATTGATATGAGATATGTGAGAATAGGCTACAGGAAGTCTTTAAGCATAAAGCCAAGACAGATCAAGTTTATCTGTTAACTTCATCCAATAAGATTTAACTGGCCAGGCACAGTGGCACATTGCTGTAATCCCAGCACTTTGGGAGGCTAAGGCGGGCAGATCACTTGAGCCCAGGAAGTTCAAGACCAGCCTGGGCAACAGGGTGAAACCCAATCTCTACAAAAAATATAAAACTTAGCCAGGTATAGTGGCGTGTGCCTGTAGACCCAGCTGCTCAGGAGGCAGAGGTGGAAGGATTGCTTGAGCCCGGGAGGTTGAGGCTGCAGTGAGCCAAAGATCACGCCACTGGAGTCCAGCCTGGATGACAGAGAGATATTCTGTCCCATTAAAATTTTTTTAATTTAATCATGCTCTGTAATTCTTTAAAAAACAAAAGCAGATTTTTTTAAATCATGCAACAACTCTCAGACGCACCAAGAAACAAGAAGGGAATTACCAAGATCATTTTTATTTTTTACTTCCAGGGAGAGTACCATTCTTCGGGCATGGAGAGAACCCTTCTAAGCTGGTATAAACAACCTGAGTGTTATCTAAAACTAGTCTCCTGTTGATAAATATTAGCTTTGTAGTTTTTACTTTGTTTATTTTAAATCCTGAGTAAACAACCTTCAGTTAGTGGGACAGTGATTTTCAAACACCACTGTATGTCAGAATTTTCTGCACAGCTTGGTAAACATGCAAATACCTATACCCAATTCTAATAAATCAGCTAGAAAGATTAAAAAGAATGCTGATGCCTGACCTCATCCTAGATCAATTGAATCAGAATATCTAAGGATATGACCCAGCCATTGGTATTTCCTAAAAGTACCCACATGAGATTCTGAGGTGCAAACCTGGGTTGAACTCCTGCCCTACTGAGTCTGATTTAGTAGTCAGGGTTGGGGTCCAGGCCTCTCCATATTTAAGATGTCACAAGTGATTCAGACCTATGGCCTTTGGATCTTATTCTTAAAAACAATGGCCTAGGTCACCTCAAAGATCTAGATAATGCCAAAGCTCTACGAATTGATGACTCTCAAAATGGGCACACTTCACTTCTCCTTTGACTTTTTTTTATTGTAACACTACCTCTTAAATAAAATTTGGCCTGCATCATAAGGAGGGAGGATCACTTTATTTATTTATTAGAGATGAAGTCTTGTGATGTTGCCCAGGCTAGTCACAAACTCCTGGCCTAAGTAAGTACTCCTCCTGCCTAGGCCTCCCAAAGTGCTGCGATTATAAGCATGAGCCACTGCACTTGGCAAAAGGATTATCTTAAATACGACAACCAGATTTGTTAACTGATTACAAATGGTTAAAGTTAGAGAATGTGTGATATTAGGGCAAAAGCTGATTTTCATCTGCATGTAGTATCAGTATCAGAATTCCATAAGCAAATAATTGCATTTTTGAGAAAAAAAAAAACCTCAAAAATTAGTATCTAATAAAAATCAGTTCTAGAAATGAGCTTTAATTCAGAAAACACTATATTAAATTATAATTAACATTTAAAAACTACTTAAAATAAATAGCCAAGGGAGTAGATACCATGAGAGTCATAGCAGCATTATTTTTAAGCAGCAAAATAATAAAAAACTTAAATGTCTTAAAATGTCTATTCAAAAGGAAACTCGTGGAACAAAATATTATATATAGTTAACTATAAATTAATGTTAATTTATAGAGAGCAGACAAAAAGAATGCTGCTGCTCTCTATATATTAATTTTTTTAATCTTCAAGGTATATCTGAAAAATAGAAGCCAATGGCAGATACATAAGTAGTATAAAGCCATTTTGTGTTTTTAAAAATAGGTCTGTATGAAAATCTATGAGATTTCTCTGGAAAGATACACAATAAATAGATCATCGTGATTTCCTCTAGGAAGGGAAACTAGGTGGCTGGGAAAAGGAGACTTTCTCCACTAATAGTCCTTTGGCCCTTTGGGACTTTTTTACCATTTGAATTATTCAATCAAAATTTTTAAAAATAAAAGATCAACTGTAAACTCTAAGTTTTAAAGTGCATGTTTATGCAAGCAAACCCTGGTATATAGCAGCATTCAATAAATGTTTGTTCATTAAATAAACCTGTTACCTTATTCCTCTTCTACAATTCAGTCATTCAATCTCCTCTTCCCTTGGTGTTCGGGGAGGGAGGAGCAGTCAGAGGATAACTAAAGTTTCACATAATCTGCCTTAGTGCTTTTGCGGGTGCTAAGGGTGTGCTAAGCATTATGCTAAATAATGTACTGACATATGTACATCATCTCAGGTAATTCTACAATATCCCTGTGAAGCAAGTATTAACTCTCTTTTTTTTTTT